CCAGCTAGGATTCTCTTTGCTATAGTTCATTTGTTTTAACTCTTGCTTTATTTTCCTTTTTGAATCAGACAGGTTTTTTTTTTTATTGTACTAAAAAAAAAGTGTATTTTGCTAATACAAAATGAAGCACAAAGCTAATTGTGTCCCTGTTTGTTTAGAGCTTACAATCTTTAGCAGGCCATAGATAGATAGATCGCATGGTACGAACCATGCAGTGGTTCCCACTCCTGCCATGGCGATGGATAGGGGTTCCCACCTCCCCTGTTTGCTTTCCCATCCTAATGTTCTATTATGAACAATAAGAGGAGTGAAAATGCCTCATTCTTGTATGTGGCTCTTGCGGCTGAAGTCCCCGAGGTGGCTTAACCCACCAGCCTCCACCTAATTGTAACTACACAGGAAAATCCATCAGGTTGGAAACCTTTTTTATTGTATTCTCAATAGTTCTCTGGTTGGGACGAATTGGTTGGCAGCACACTTCCTTGGCCAATGAGGACTGAGCTGACATTTAAGGGCATATCTATATGCGGGGTCAAATATGCTGGGTGAAATACTTTCTGGATTTTGAAAGGTCCTGCTCTTTCTTTTCCTGCAGACCGATAATGACACATGCCTCTGTCCCAGAAGAAGATCGGGTCCTCCTCAATATCAATGACTGCCTCATCCGCCTCTCTGTTGGCTTAGAAGACACAGAAGACCTAATTGAAGACTTGGATCAGGCATTGAAAGCTGCAGTGAGTACTGCCAGAATATAGTTTTGACTCTTAGGTCTGATAAATCAAACTTATTTGGGCAAAGTTAAGATTATTTATTTTTATTATAATATTATCACTTAGAAGCAAACTCCAAGGCGGCTGGCTTTCCTACTTTCAGTACTGATGTGAAAAAAATCCTTTTGGTTTTTCCGTCCTCAGACTAAGACCTCTGATACTATGTCTAGGTGGGGGACTATGGTAGACGGGTTGTAGTACAAGACAGTTGGCCTAAGAGGGGGAGCATAAATGGTCATATGGACCTCCTAAGAGTCATATCTTGATTGGAAACCATATACACCTTCTGGTAAGTTACATCTCTTCAACCAGCTGTCATCATAGTGTGGTGTTGAACATTTAAATTTGATAAAAAGGTGCATTTACACAAGTCCTAGCAAGATATAGGGTCTACAAAGTAATGTGCCTTTTCATTGCTAGACTGAGGGGGAAAAACCCACCCCTTATCTTTCAGTGCTAAATCTCCTTTCGATGTCATTGTGGCCAGCAATCTCAGAAGTATGATGGTGCCACTCTCTGGTCCCCACATTCCCTAAAGCTGCCACTTCTTAATATCCTCAAGTTACATAGAGAAAGCTTCTCTAGTCGCCTTCCAGGACAGCATTAGAGAGATAGGCTCCTCCCACCGGAACAGGAAACACATCACCCACACTTAGAATAAAAAGGAGCACAAGCCTAGCACGCTTCAGTTATTTTGTGTTTCCTCCGGCCGAGCAGGACATCGTAATGTTTGTTGTTTTCCTTAGGCCTTCGTGCTGGTGAGCAGGGGCTTCCCCCCCGACAGGGGTACAGCAGAGGGTCAGTGGACCCGGGGTACCCAGGAAGGGGGGCTTCCTGGACAGCCCCAACTGTCCGAAAGAAAATGCCTGTAGTTTACCTGCACAAGGGTGTGCAGGGCAACTTGACCTGTTGGTGTAGTGGACTCAGGGGAGTTCCCCCGGGCGAAAAACCTCTGCTTCAAAGTGGTGTGTTTTTTCTTACCTGCAACGGTGGTGGCTTTCGGGGATCCTGGCTCCGGTCTGCGGGACTGGCGTCCTCGTGTGGCATGGGGGAGGCATTTCCCGGCGTACGAATGTGGGCGGAAATGTCATAAGTAACGAACTTCTGGCGGTGTCCGCAGCGCGTCTGACGTCACTTCCGGTGCGCGGAGACATACGAGCAGACACTGCCAGGCTGCGTCAGCCATTCGGTCCACGCTACAGATGGCCAACACATCTGAAGCAGGGGGTCGCAAGGCCCTTGCGGTGCCCACACACGCAAGGGGGGGCACCAATAGTGGGGCGCAAGAGCTGGAGTCGGAGGGGCCAGGGGGCCCAGCTGGAGACTCAACTACCACAATGGCATCATTTGATCTGGGGGATCCTGGTGCCGGCAGCTCTAAGGTAAGAGAGGGGGAGTTCCCCATTTCCTTTACCGGTTATTTCTCAGTGTTTGGGGGCATGAGAAATGGGGTTGACACAAGTTGGAAGATTGCTGTTTTTTAACGG